TTGTGCTGTTTACTAAATTGCAGTCCTTGCTCTTTTTTATGAATGCATAATTGTGAGTTGCTGGATCTCCTCAAAACCTATCTTATTTAGCAATGTAGTAATGCCACAGAATATAATGGAGGGTATTCCTCAATGTGAACTTGAACATGACCTTGTGTCCACAAGGACTGTGCAATGTTTCTGTTGCTGTCATAGATGGATGAAGTTATGGCAGGCAGGTTAATAAGAATGCGTTCTAACATGTTTTTTTTGCTCTTGTTGCTTCAATCTCCACCTGCTTCACATCCAGTTTTGCAGCTATGTTCTTCAAAACTCGATTAGATCAGTCAGGAGTGATATTGCTGAGCAACTCTTGCGGATAAACATTAAGTCACCCAGCCTGAATACATGCCATCCTCAGTGCATCCCAGAAGTGGCGCTTAACATACTAAAACTGTCTTCACTTGCAGGATCCAGATCCCTTCCTGGATCCGGGATCCCTTCCTATTCATGTATTCATCCAGGTGCTTCTTGATTGTTGCAATAGTGTCCACTTCCACCACCTCCTCTGGCAGTGTGCTCCAGGCACTCATCATCCTTTGTGTAAAAAACGTGCCTCGCACATCTTTTTAAAACTCTCCCCTCTAGACCTTGAATCTGTGTCCCCAAGTATTTGACCCCTTCATCCTGGGAAAAAGGCTCATACTTCCCACTCAACCATGCCACTGACAATCTTATAAATTTCTATCAGGTCGCCCCTCAGCCTCCTGCGTTCCACTGAAAACAAACCCAATCTATGAACCTTTCTTCATAGCTAAAATCCCGCATACCAAGCAACATCCTCATAAACCTTTTCTGTACCCTCTCAAAAGCATTCTGGTAGTGTGGTGACCAGAACTGTACGCAATATTCCAAATGTGGCCTAATTAAAGTTCTATAAAGCTGCAGCATAACTTGTTTATCCTTATACTCAATGCCCTTTCCAATGAAGGCAAGCATGCCATAGGCCTTTTTTACTACCTTATGTACCTAATTAGTGATGTTAAACCATACAACAGCCTGAAAAAGTTTCATGTGAAGCCTTAGGCTAAACCTTGGCAAGTATATAATTGAAAGACAGCGTTCAATGAAAGTAAAATATACCAACAATCTAACCACACTCAGTCTCTGTCAAACTTAACCAAGGATACAACCTTCTCAAATACCCACGATGATGCTAACAGAACATACATCCCCTTTGGTTTCATTGGCTTTAATATCGCACGGAAAAATATTATATGGTACTTTGTGAAACAATCTTTCAAAGTCAATAGACACACTAACCCTCTCTGTTACTTCAAAGCCAATCAAGTTAGTCAAGCATAATTTGCCTTTAGTAAATTGATACTGACTTTGATTTATCAACCCACACTTTTCCAAACATCAATTCCTTTTGTTCTTGATTATTGTTTCTAAACATTTCCCACTACTGACATTACTCACCTATCCTGGCAGGTTATTTTAGTCTTTTTTTTAATATAGAAGTATAATGTTTGCAATACCCAAATCCTCTGGCATCACTTGCACATCCAAGGTGTACTGTCAAAAGTGCAGACAGAGCCTTTGCATTTTAAATCCTAACTTCCGTCAATAACGTAGGATAAACCCAACAATGGCTTGCTGACATTGTTTACTTTGAGGACTTCCAAACAGCTTAAATCCGTCCTTTTTATTATGTTATTCAATATTAAATTGCTATTGCCTCCTCCATTTGTATATTGGCAGCAGCATCCTCTTCTCTGATTATCACTGTTGCAAACTACTCATTTAATGCTTCATTTGGCTCTCTGCTTATATAAGATTGCCTTTGTAGCCCTCAATCGGCCCACTGTGTGAAAACACTTGTTGGTTTTTTTATATTTCCGCATACTGACATTTTAATGCCAAAACCAGGAGCATAGGCAGCTAAAATTCCCTGGGGTTCTGAAAGTTTGTTGTGAATTTTAACCTGCTGAACCGAGTACCTTGGAGGAACTGCCGTGCAAAACTGGTGTGATATTTTGGTGACATTATTAAAATCTGATGACAAACTGAACTGGTGGCTTGAACACTGAAGTCATCGGAACATAGGTACAGAAGTAGGCCATTGAGTGCCTCAAGTTTACTCCACCATTCAATGGGATTGTGGTTGATCTGTGACCTAATTCCGTATACTGGCCTCTGACCCAAATCCCTTAATACCTTTCCTTAACAAAAATCTCTCTCTCTCATATTTAAAATGAACAATTGATCCAGCATCCACTACCACTAATGGAAAGAGTTGCAAACATCTACCACTCTTTGTGTATAGAAGTGCTTCCTTATATCTCTCTTGGCCATAATTCTCAATCCATTTCCCCTAGTTCTAGAAACCCCAACCAGTGGAAATAGTTTATTGTTATCTACTGTGTCTTCAAGAAAAAAACAAAATCAATAATCCAAAACAATCTTGGAATTAAAAGTTGCTCTAGTTTTCTCATCAAATGAAGACAGGGAGGCCCAAACTTACATGTTTTCTTTTCATTTTCCTTATGCATTGCCTAAAGCTTGAACCCTCCTTCACTCGCCACCTTAAAACATATCGCTTTAACCAAGTTTCTGGACAATGTCCTAACATGGCTTGTTTGTCTTGATGTCAGATTTTGTTTGTTAATATCATTGTACAACATTTTGGGAAGTTTTATTATATCAAAAATATAAAGGAAATGCAAATTGCTGTTGATGTCCTTGGGTAGTCCTCTTGGTGAAAGGAAGACAGAAAAGAGGCTGAAATAAACAAAACCTAGAGGATAAAGATAACCAGGAAACCATACTTGAATTGAAACACGTGTTCAGCTTACACAGCAGGTGGGTGTGGGCTGGTGCTTGTGGATGCTACCCATGGAATTGCAACCACTGCATGACAAAGAATTAGCCCTGTGAACTGTGCTGTGCTTCTGGTATCGTGCTAATCACGTCAACTTGTAAACTATTTTGCAATAGAATTTTTTATGGGATGTGGTTCTGAGTTGACCATGTCAATTTGTGATGAAATATTAACTGGTAACAATCACTTTTTTGTTCCATTAGCAAATACAGTCGGCTCTCATACAACATAATAGTTCCGTTCTGAGGAAAGGTCACCGGACCCGAAACGTTAACTCTGTTTTTTCCACAGATGCTGCCAGACCTGCTGAGCTTTTCCAGCAGCTTTGTTTTTGTTCCTGATTTACAGCATCCGCAGTTCTTTTGGTTTTTATTTTATAATAGTTCCATTCTTGTGCGATCTCACGTTATAAGAAAATCACGCAGTAGACACACCGTTTAAACTAATGAGGCCTGTATTGTGTTATAGTCAATAGAGGTGAGGAAAGTTCGTGTCCTACAAATATTGGTCTAAATTCTTCGATCGTGTTAAAACCAATTTGCTTTGAAGAAACGTGTTAGAGCAGAACTGACTGTAGCTATTGTAAGTGTTATGAAGGAGTGGTGGAACCCCTCTAATAATTAAAACTGAAACCCCCAGAGAAGCTCGCCTCACCTCATAATCTGTTAAAGGAAATATGAAAAGTGATATAATCTGCCTCTCACCCCCAATCTGTTATAAAGGAGAGGTTAACTGAAAGAAATCCCTGACACTCACTTTATTTAGCAACAAGTAACATTTATTTATCAACATCAAACAGTAAACAAATTAACAGAACTACTAACAAACTGAACAATTCCCCCTTTTACTAACTATTCCCAAATAAAACAAAATTATAATGGCATGCTGTTCCAATAAATACAAATCCCATTTATATAAACAAAAGTAACAAGAAAAAATAGATTAAAACTTAGTCGCTCAAAATTACAGCCAAGGTAAGTCTTGCAGAATGTTCTTTGCCTTCTCTGCTGTCCTCCAGTCAGGAATGCCTTCCTCCATCGAATTCTTGTGTCGGGAATATTAGCTAAGAGTGCCATTATAGCTGGTGTTTACTCTGAGATCTTAGAGATTTCTGTGCGAGCCAGTGATTTTCTCTTTCTTTAGAGCTGCAGGCTGTTGAAAGCTGTTCTCTTAACAGATGGTGGTTTGCTCTCTCACAGATTTTCAAATGCCCTCTTCTTTAATACTGTTGATGACCTATTAACTTCTGACACTAGGATTGGTCTGAGGTTGTCAAAACCATCAGATTTAAACTTAATTGGGCTTTAATATCTAGGGCCTGGTTTAAATTAATTGGCTAAATTCAAAAACCTGTTGTTTTGGTAAAAAGAGATAACAAGATGTAGAGTTGGATGAACACAGCAGTTCCTACTATCTCTGTCTTGGTAAAAATGCTGCTTTGCCCACTAACAGTATAGCCTTTTGATACAATGTTCCAATATTAAGAACTCTGTGCATCTGCTGCTGCCTGTAGACTTTTTTTTTTAAACCACGCATTCACCCCCACACCCCATCATTTTACAAATAAACTCTCAATGTCCTGCCTTCTAATCCACAAGTATTATAACAACTTTGCAACAGTAAGCAACAGATAGATGGGAGTGTAACTGAAAAGATCACTTTTGTTTGAGGTTGTGCAAGTGGAAGGGTGCAGGTGGTTCTTGTCATGAAACAATTGGGCATAAAGTGTAATGTGCAGGACACTCAGGTGTGAAACCAAAGTTCAGAAGTGAAGGCCTGGGCCAGGAACCTGACGACAAGATGACCATGAAAGCCAAATCACCTCTATGGGAGTAGGTAATACCTAAGAACCTTGGGCTCAATGCTCAGGAGGAGGACTCTAGGCAAGGGATCCAGTCACAAGGCTATCATGAGAGACTGATCACCTCTCTGAATACAGGCAACATTTGGTGGAATGTGTGAGGCATGTGCTTTGTGTATTGTTGCTTGTGATAATTAATAAATGATCTTTTAGGTACTTTTTTTAATCAACCTGTTCAGAGATGTCATTGCACACCTCTGGAATAGGCGGGACTTCAAGCTGGGCTTCCTGATTCAGAGGTAGAGACAGTACCACTGTGCCAACAAGAGCTCCCTTATAAATGGTTAGATGCCATTAAGTAGAGAGCAATGCCTTAACCAGTTGTGTGTTCTAAAGCCTCTGGGACCCCTTTCATCCTTATCAAGGGGACTGCTAATTTTCTCTCCTTTCATACAACACAATTTATTAAGTACAATAAAAGTGAGTTTAGTGTTTTCTTCAGTATAGATGTGAATTAGGCACAACAGTGTGCCCTAAACTGCTGGTACCTGGTGTCCAAGATGGAGGTCTGAAGGAACGAGCAAGCGAACTGGAGTTGCCAAGTAACCACCCTGGCTTCAATGGTGGGCAACTTGCCAACTTGTTTCCAGCAAGTGGGAAAGTGGGAAACTGGAGAAAAAAAGAGATGAGATGATAATGCATGCAAACAGGCCTAATGCCACTCACGAATGAGAATCTCATCTCTCTTCTTAACACTTGGTTATAGAATAATATATAATACAATACAGCACAGGAACAGGCTCTTTAGCCCATCAGGCTGCGCTGATTCCTAACCTCTATTTAGGCCCTCTACTTAGTGCCCATACGCGATTTCTATGCCTCTGTTTGCCTCCCGGTCATGCGTCTATCAAGATATGCTTTAAACGTTGCTAACGTGCCTGCTTCCACCACCTCTACTGGCGCTGCATTCCAAGCATCCACCACCCTCTATGTAAAAATATTTCTCCACATTTAACCCCTAAACTCTCCCCCTCTCATCTTGAACCTGTGCCCTCTTGTAGTTGAACATTCCACCCTGCAAAAAAGCCTCTGATTATCCACCCTATCTATGCTTCTCATAATTTTGTACACTTCTATCAGGTTGCCTCTCAGCCTCCATCTTTCCAGTGAAAACAATCCGAGTTTATCCAACCTGTCCTCCTAACTAAAATCCTGCAGACCAGGCAACATCCTGGTAAACCTTCTCTGCACCTTCTCCAAAACATCCACATCCTTCTGCTAGTGTAGCGACCAGAACTGCGTGCAATATTCCAAAAATGGCCTAACTAAAGATTTATACACCTCTAACATAACTTGCTAACTTTTGAGGTAGGGTCACTCAACCTGAAACATTAATTCCGATTTCTCTTCACAGAGGCTGCAAGACCTGCTGAGCTTTTCCTGCAGTCCTATTTTTGTTTCTGATTTACAACATTCACACTTCTTTCAGTTTTTGCCAAATTTTGTATTCGATGCCCTGGCCAATGAAGGTAAGCATGCTATGTATCTTCTAGACCACTTTATCCACCGTGTTGCTACCTTCAGGCATCTGTGGACTGGACACCATGATCTTTCTGTACTCCAAGTCAATGTTCCTAATGGGTCTGCCATTTATTGTATAATTCACACCTGAATTTGATCCTCCAAAAAGCATGACTTCACATTTGTCTGGTTTATACTCCACCTGACATTTCTTGATTCAAGTTTTGATTGGATTTATTTTTGTCACTAAGTACAGTGTTGAGCTTTGTTTTGAGAGCAGTGCAGGCAGATTATAGCAAACAAGGACTTATAGATCATAGGATGCTTAGACAGAGTGAGGCATACAAGGTTACAGCTGCACAGGAGGTGCACAAAGCAGGATCAACATTATTTGAAGTTAGAGAGGTCCATACAGCAGTCTGACAACAGCAGGGAAGAAGCTGTATTTGAACCTGTTGGTGCGTGTGTTCAAGCTTCTGTATCTTCTGCCTGATGGAACAGGTTGGAAAACAGTATCACCAGGGTGGGAGGGATCTTTGATGATGTTGGCAGCTTTTCTGCAGCAATGAGAAGTGTAAACGGAGCCCGTGGATATGTGGTTGGATTCTGTGATGGTCTGGGCTATGCACACAATTTTCTGTAGTCTTAGTTCTGCAGCCACCGTACTAGGTTGTTATGCACCCAGATGAAATGCTTTCAATGATGCATCTGTAAAAGTTGGTGAAGGTCCTTAGGGACTTGCTGAATTTCCTAAGCCACCTGAGGAAGAAGAAGCATTGTTGTGCCCTCTTGGCCATCACGTCTACATGGGAGGTGCAGGATAGATTGCCAGTTATCATCACTCCCAGGAACTTGACACTGTCAACCCTCTCCACCTCAGCTCCATTGATGTGGATAGGGGCATGTTCTCCTCCTTTCTTCCTGAAGTCATTGATCAGTTCTTTTGTTTTGCCAACACTGGGAGAGAGGTTGTTATGATTGCACCATGACACCAAGCCCTCTGTCTCCTTCCTGTATTTTGACTCATCATTGTTTGATGTCTGTCCTACCATGGTGGTGTCATCAGTAAACGTGTAGACGGCATTTGTACGGAATTTGGCTTCACAGTCATAGGTGTACAGAGTACAGTAGGTGGCTGAGAACACATCCTTGCAGGGCGTTAGCATCGAAAATTATCGTGGAAGAGGTGCTGTTTTCTATCTTCACTGATACCTAGGTCTCAGAGTTTTAGTCTGGCAGGGATTATGGCGTTGAAGGCAGCTGTAGTCAATGAGTAGGAGCCTGATGTCAGAGTCCTTGTTATCCAGATGTTCCAGGGATAAGTGCAGGGCTAGGGAGATGTCATCCACTGTGGACCTGTTTAGCTGGTAGGTAAATTGCAGGGGATCAAGGCAGGCTGGGAGGCCAGAGTTGATGTGGGCCATGACCAGCCTTTCAACGCACTTCATGATTATGGAGGTCAGAGCCACTGGGAGATAGTCATTAAGGCACACTGCATGTGTTTTCTTTGGTACTGGGATGATGGTGGTCTTCTTGAAGCAGTTGGGGACTTCAGATTGTAGCAAGGAGAGGTTAAAGACGTCAGTGAAAACCTCAGGCAGCCGGTCCACACAGGATGCAAGTGTACAGCCAGGGGCTCCATCTGGGCCTATTACTTCCCTCGGGTTTACTCTCAGGAAGATCAATCTGACATCTGCAGCAGTCACAGAGGTAACAGTTACGTCGGGGGCTGTTGGGGCAGGTGACATTGTCCCACTTGCATTCTGCTCGAACCAAGCATAGATAGCATTGAGCACATCAGGTAGGGATGTGTTTTTGTCCGCTATCTTGCTCTAGTTCAGTGTCGGCCTTGCCACAGGTGGCAGGTGGTCGTATAGTTAGTTTGGGCCTCTAACTTGGTGCAGTACTGCCACTTGGCATCTCTGCTGGCTTTGCGGAGGTCATGTCTGGATTTTCTGTATAGGTCTGGGTCGTCCGACTTGAATGCTGCACATCTGGTATTTGGTAGGCAGTGGATTTCCCAGTTCATCCAAGGTTTCTGTTTAGGGAACACACGGCTTGATTTCTTTGGCACGCAGTCCTCTACGCACTTGCTAATGAAGTCCATGATGGTAGTGACGTACTTGTCTAGGTTGCCTCCAGAATTCTTGAATATAGTCCAGTCCACCCATTCCAAGCGGTCCCAGAAAAGTTTTTCCACTGCCACAGACCAGTATCGTACTACTTGTACTTGAAAATATAGATAAGTGGATTAGTAAATTTGCAAATGGTACTCAGATAGGTGGAGTTGTAGATATTTTAGAAGGTTGTCAAAGGATATAGCAGGATATACTCAGTTGCAGATATGGGCGGAGAAATAATAGACGGAGTATAATATGAGGTGCTGAATTTTGGGACATCAGATGTTAAGGAAAAGTATACAGTTAATGGCAGGACCCTGAACAGCTTTGATATACAGAGGGATCTAGAGCTTCAAGTCCATTGCTCCCTGAATGTGGCCACACAAGTAGATAGGGTGGTAAAGGAGGTGTATGGCATGCTTGCCTTTATTAGTCAGGGCATTGAGTACAAGAGTCAGGACGTCATGTTGCAGCTTTATAGGGCTTTGCTTAGGCTACACTTAGAGTATTTTGTTCAATTCTGATCGCCACATTAAGGAAGGATATGGAGACTTTGGAGAGGGTGCAGAAGAGGTTTACCAGGATGTTGCCTGGATTAAAGGGTATGAGCTATAAGGACAGCATAGAAAAACTCGGGTTGTTTTCTCTGGAGTAGCCAGGGCTGAGGGGAGCCTAGCTATAAGTCTATAAAATTTTGAGATGCATAGATAAGGCTGATGGTCAGAATCCTTTTCCCAGATTTGAAATGTCTAAAACTATGGGGCATGCATTTAAAGTCAGAAGGGGAAAGTTCAAAGGAGATGTGAGGGGCAGGTTTTTTGCACAAAGAGTGGTAGGAGTCTGATGTGCTGCCAATGGTGGTGGTGGAGGCAGATACGATAGGGGTGTTTAAGGGACTTTTAGATAAGAATATAAATATGCAAGCAATGAAAGGATATAGGCCAAAGGCAGCAGAAGGAATTAGTTTAATTTGCCGTCATGTTCAGCAAAACATCATGGGTCAAAGGCCCTTGTGCTTTAAAGTTCTATGTTCATTTTCTGTGTAGGATCTTCCCATTTTAACTTCTACTTGTAAGCTGGGAGGAGGAACACAGTTTTGTGATCTGACTTTCCAAAGTGCAGACGGGGTATGGAGCAGTAGGCATCTTTGACGGTTGTGTAGCAGTGGTCAAGGATTTTTGTTCCCCTGGTGGGGCAGGAGATGTGTTGGTGGTATTTTGATAGCACCCCCCTTAGGTTGGCCTGTTTGAAGTCATTAGCCATGATGACTAGGACCTCAGGGAATTTCATCTCCAGAGCACTTGTAGTGGTGTAAATTTCATCCAGAGCACTCTTCACTTCCGTGTGGGGTAGCATGCTGTCTGGATGGCAGAGGAGAACTTGCGCAGCAGATAATAGGGTCAGCATTTCATTGTTAGATATTCTAGGTCCAAGGAGCAGTGGCTCACTAGGGTTGCCACATCTGAGCATCAGGAGATGTTGATTAAGAGGCATACTCCACCGCCTTTTCCCTTACCTGAGGACGCCATGCAGTACATGCAATGTATGCAGAAATCCTCAGCTTGCAAGCATAGTCAGGTATAGAAGGAGTGAGCCATGTCTCTGTCAAACAGGGCACACAACAGTCTCTGAATTTCCTCTGGAAGGTAAGTCGAGATCCGAGTTTGTCTATTTTGTTTCCAATAGCTTGGACATTTGCCAGGAGTAAGATAGGGAAGGGGACACTTGAAACTGTGTTGTTTCAGTCTCACTTGCAGGCCAGCATGTCTTCCCCATTTTCTGGTAGGTTTCCTGTGTCTGGACGGTCCCAGGTGTCGG